ATGTCAAAAAAAAATAAAAATCGTATTTCAAATTCAATCTAGAGTGCCGTGACTATATTAAAAACACTACAATTCTTAATCAAGAGCCTTGGAAAATAGATTTGATCGTCTAATGTTTTAGTGTCTTGTCCTGACTGAGTTAGAAAATATATGAATCATGTTTTAATTATATCTAAAATCGTTTCAAATGGAACGAAGGTGGCTCATTAGCATATTTGGAAAAAAAAATTACGGATAATTTGATACCAAACTTGGTATTACAGAGTCAAATTTTTGTTCCGAACCGCAAGTTATAATTTCAAATAAACTATACGCGAAAATGCAAAGAAGTTAAACATATGATGTAATAATCTATTTAAGAATTGAACTAAAGTTTAATGAAAACAATTGAATACGTCAATCAATTCCTAAATTTATGTCATATACTAGCATACCAAATCTCGTTTTTTTATCTGAAAAAATAAAAAAGTTATAGTGGTGAGCCACTTTTGAGACACACCCGGTATATTACCAAATACAAAAAAATAACTGAACGGAAATAATACAGATAACTAGAGATTTAATGACCAATTTTAACAAACGAGTTATTAACAAAAGTGCCCGTAAAAATATAAAAGCTATTTTTTAACGTAATAAAATGTATCATTTGTTGAAAGCCACCCTTTATCACAGCATAGAGCATTTTACACACCTCGATACATCTAATGTATACACAAGTTTCTTTGTCTAGAACACTTCAAAGCTTACTGATGTAAGAAAATAAGCTCAACTAGCTACTTGAATTTTTATTACAGTATATTTTTTTCAATTTCTGCACCATTTGTTCTCTGAAGAGGTCTAGTTTTTTCCTTTATAAACTATTATGATGGGAAAGTACTTCATAGCATTTTAATTGTTTTTATTACAACAACCAATGTAACTAATTTCAGATATTTACTACAGTAAAAATATCTGTTTTCACTTCGAATTATTGATTTACTTAGATGGCTTTATAGTTTCACCCCTTACTAATCAGAGGACGCTAGTGGTATTATTATAGGAGAAATAAATTATTAACTAACTACTATTCATATAATATATCTCATTGGAAAATTTAAAAGATTAAAATTTGCTCTATTTTTAGTCTTCTATTTTTTCATTATCTATAGTATTTCCTTCTACAATATGAATAACGATATAGCAATAGAACTAATTCTAAACACATAGCAATAATAGGTACATTTATGCGAGATTAATATTCATTAATAAATAAAAATAAAGTTCATTAATAGAAAATACCTGAAAGTTTAAAACAGTATACTTAATTTATGTTGCTGGTGGAAACTTGTTGAAAATATTTTCAATATTCTTATAGATATTTCTGATTATGCTTGAAGTAGATGTCAACTTGATTATTTTAAATAGATCATTTATTTATTGATGCACACATATTTATAGATATTTTTTTTAATTATACGTTAAATATAAATATAGTATATTATATTATTCCTAAGTTTAACTGATTTAAATTGTTTTATTTAGAGCACCTACGTAAGCTCACTTTAGGGGCTTAATCATTCACTATTTTTCAAAATTGCACCTATTTTGCAACATTATTATCCTTACGTCATATTACATATCAGATTCGATAAAGGAAAAATTAACTTAAATTATTCAATCACAATTTATATTCCTCTCTATTTAACGAATATAAATTTTGTTATTGTTGTGGAGCTTCCGGTGTTCCATTAAATCATCGACTTATTATCCTTACACAGGAAATAGGCAGAGCCGGATTAGGCTGCAGGAGCTAAGAACCATAAAATCAAAAAAAAAACGGCGTCAATGACGACTGGGGAATGATAAACGATGATAATTTTGGCGAGGTCAAATACTAGACGTTATTTACTTGGCCCGTAATATTCTTTATTTTTTATTGGCGCTTACTGCCAGTTGTCCTTGTTGATTATTTTTTAAATGGTGTAGTTTAAAATTCGAAAAACAAAAATTTTTTGAAAATAGATTTTTGTCTGGAAACTTTCAATCCTTTTTTAATCTTTCTATAATAGTGTTAATTTTTTGAAATTTTATGTAAATTTTTAGTAAATGACGCCAAGAGACAGACCTCGCGAAAATTATCATCGATTTTCATTTCCCAGCTGTCTTTGACGCGTTTTTTTTCATTCGGTTTATAACCCTAGTAAACTATTCCCACAATAATGTCATCTTCATTGTTTTATAATACATATATATAATATAAACTGTATTTTTTTGGAAAGCTGTCGCAATCTTTCCTAGCTTGTTGGAGTGACTCTAGTATTTTTGAGTTTATTTTTTTTTGAATATATGTTTTCCTTTTTTTCTAAATCCGGATCTGGAAATATCATGTATCTAAAGGATCATTAAAAGACAATTCATTTGAACCAAGGACAGTTACCTTATAATTAATGATTAATGTCTAAGACAGATTCGATGGTAATCAGTCTAAAGATTCCATCTAATAAACACTGAATTTTGAAAAGACATTAAAAGTATTTTATTCGTATCCAACATATAGGGTGAGTAATGTAATTATATACCTACTATATAAAAGACGTTAAATTCCAGTAGAACGTTTTACTTTTACTAAAATTTGATAAAACTTGGCATACTTGGTCAATTATTAGAGTTAATATAGTGTTAATTTAAAATCTGTAGTATACTCTAAATAGATAAGTTAAACTTTAATTATAAGAATAATCTCTTTAATACATAATTAAATTTTTTATACCAATCCATTAAATTATAAAATTTTATTGTGTATTAGAAAAAATCCAGAATCAATCTGAATTATTTGGGCCACTTTATTCACTGTAATGCTATCTAATAATCAACTGACCATACATGCCATATATTTGTCAGAAAGAGGATGATTTAAATAATAGTTGACTAGTCACGCATATGCTGGCAATTACTTGAATTTCCTTAATTTTTGTTGTTAAATGAGCCACAGCGAGGGCTAATTGAAAACGACTAATAATAGAAAGTTACTTTCGAAAAAGGAAAATTCAATCATAGAGTAAGAAGACAAAAATTACAAACCCGTATTATAACAGTTTATTCATTTTAGAAATTATAGGACAATTCATACATTACTGAAGACGTCGAACGAACATAATATGAATAATAAACCAAAAACTTCAGTGATGGCTGTAGACCAAATCAGACCACAACGAAACGCTGGTTTTAAAAGAAAACAAATGATTTTGATTAGCGTTTCGTAACAACCTAAGGTATACGATTTTTATGTTATTTTATTTAATTTAATTAAAATAATACAATGTATAAGTAATTAAATACATAGCATAATAAATAAAAGAATCTATACATTTTTGCATAAATCAAGAAACAGTAAAATAGTTTTTAAAACTAGGGACCCCAGTATACAGGGTCCGGCAATAATGCGTCAGGCATCTGTAGCTTCTAGAATCAAAAACTTGGGAATGTTGTTTAAGTGCAAACCTAAAGTATGTACTAGGATGTATTTCAGGAAAATATTTTAACTTCTATAGGGTGGCTCAAAAAAGTGTGAGTGGACAGGGATGTTTTTTTTAATGGAACACACTGTATATTCTTGCATTTTTGGCTTCCTTTCAGATCACTTTACATAATCCTAAGATATGATTAAATATATTTTGATAGATTCAGAGATATTAATAAATAAATAAAAAATATATATTTTTCAGCCTTTCATAAAAAAATTTGTTAGAAATACAAGAACTGTCCTGAAATAAAAACTATATTAGGTATTTACTTTAGATAGTTTGCAGTTACTTTGGTATAAATATGGTAATCGTAAATCATACAGGATGTTCAAAATTCTACGCCAAACTTTGTAAAATAATTTTTCTTCGTTTTTTTTAATGGAACACCCTGTATATTAATTTTTCAATACATGGATAATTAAAAAATGAACACTTTTGGTACTTAGAGTATTTCAAAATTTTTAACAGTTTCACAGATATTCGCGGTTTTATATTTCATATGGCATTTTCTACAGTAAATTTTTATCAAAGCCACCCAATGATTTTTTTCTCGTATTTTACCGTTGGTAGAGCCATATGAAAAAATATTGCGTGAACGAACAAACAATCCGTAGAAATGAACAAGTCGCATTGTGATCCGATTCAATTTTTAGGACTCTTTTTTACGACTCGTTCGTTTAAATTTTATGGATCCGTACTGGCCACGATTCAATTGAACAAACCGTATTGTAAGCAATGAATCAATTCTCACGACTCCTTGAACGAACGAGCCGTAGAAACGAACGAGTCGCATTGTGATCCGATTCAATTATTACGACTCATTCGTTTCAATTTTATGCATTCGTGCTGGCCACGATTCAATTGAACGAATCATATTCTAAGCGGTGAATCGAATTTCACAATTTATTTTTAATACTCATTCAAATTAACGACTCGTTCAATCTTTGCCTACCTCTCGTGTACATTCTTTGCATACATGCTTTTTGTTAGTATTTTACATAAAAAAATATTTGTAACGCATGAAAGTACCCTATGATAAAAAAACGACGTCCAGTTGACTTGGAAATGATTCGAGCCATCTCTGACGGAGTTTTTTTCGATTGTATATGTTTTTTTTTCGATATTGTATTTCGATACTTTCTATTAAATAACTACAAATATATTAAAAAATTTTATTAATAAAAGTCTTTTATTCTGTAATATAGTAAAGATTGTAAAACATAACTGAGATAACTGAGCAAACGTTTTAAAATATATTATGGTTTCTTTTATGAACCGATGATGATATCATCGTATTAAACTATTTTCTGGAAAGCTATTTTAATGTGCATAAGAGCTATAAAAAGACTCATATATAAACAAAACAAACTCATTTTTTTATAATGTGTAAACTCCAAGATCAAAATCTAAGCACGCAACTATAATAAAATTAGAAGAAAAAAAATATCTGCCTTATTTAAACAATAGATAACACATCATATATTTTTTTATTTATAGTTACAACATACGAAATATAGAAGTATCTCAAAAACATATCGAAACTCAAGAAAAGAAACATTCAAAGTTTCGTAAAAGTGTGGTAACTCAACTGGAGAAATACTGCGAAAACACCACTTTACATGGCTTGAGATACGTAGGGGATTCCCATTTAACCATTGGTGAAAGGTATGTTCTATAAGCTATTCCGGTCATTTTAACCTCATGAAATATTGAATGATATAAAAAATGTCTATAATGTGACGGATTCATCTGCAAGAAAATCTACAAAATAAAATAGAACATAATAATATAATAATTATGTTCTTTAAAATCAAAGAAGCGATTGTCATATATTACTAACATCTACAGATGCATGAGAAATACATTTATTTTTATTAGAATGTATTAAAAAAACCTCTTTTATTTTTCTTTTAGAGGCTAACGCTTCTTTCATTATAATTTTGGCGTTATTAAAATTTATTGTTATTGCCCTGTGTCCCATGAATGCTGACAAATCTTAGACTTGTGAAAATCTCCCTTTCTGTTTGTTGTTTCACCAATGTAAAATTTATCGCATTCACATGGTATTTTATATATTACATTTTTTGTTTGTTGTTCTGGGTATTCATTGGTTTAGTATGTAATAAAATGGATCTAAGTGTATCTTATTCATATTTTTTCTTAGTAACTTTCAAATTAACATTATGTTGTTTTGTATATATTTAAGCTATTTCGTTGTAACAATATTCACTTTTACTAAAGAAAATTTTCTCTAGGATTTTCTGGTTTATTTCATTTTCCCTGGCCATCATCTTTGCATCGTACTACATTTCCAACATCTATGCAAAATGGAAGTCCAGTCCTGTCATCATCAGTTTCAGTCCTTTCGATGCGGAATTGAGTTCGATTCCCTTTCCAGCCATCACTATTTGTAATATGAATCAAGCCAAGAAGAGCGAAGCAGAAAGGATTCTTAAAGAAGGGTATAATTATAATATTACTAGTACTATACAGGGTATCTCTTTAAACCTCAATTTACTTATCGACAGTTATGAAGAACCATACTTAAATTCAATTGATTTTTCTACGCATATGAAGATAGTTGGAAAGTGCTTTTGTGGGTTTACCCATATGTTTACCCATATGGTTTTCACCTATGCAACTTATTACCTATATGCAACCTTAAAACTAAATAAAAATAAAATTTGGACAAGAATTTCTAAAATTGTAGTATAAAAAGTTATGTTTTGAACAACATTTCGTAGTTATCAGTCTATTTATTAAGTAGTATTAAATCATTAAAAAATTTGCCAATCATATCAGCTTCAGTTATGAACGAATTTAAAATGAAAATTAAATTAAAATATTTATTTTATTTTCTGCTAAACCTAATTATTTTAGTTTACTGCTAAACCTAGTTTTAATATGATATTTTAACCAAACAAAATTCTAAACGTTTTAAATAAGTCTTTTTACAAGAAAACTAGTATCGTAATGGATATTAAAAATATATTTAAAAATGTAAATTTTTCTATTAAATACTAGTGATTAGTGATGGATAACTCGAGCGAAAATTCGATTATGAACGAGCGACGAACGCAAGCGATCCTATCGAGCGAATTTGCTACATACATTGCAGACTGGCAATATTTTATCAGTATTTTTGGTAAAAATATCTTCAAACAACAGATTGTTCCTTTGATTGGGACCGCATTCTTAATTATAGGATTGTACGACGTTATCTGTTACGTAACTGTGTGACAAAAATTTTACCACCTACATCGACAAGACTTCGATGCATGATCAAGCGAAACTACTCGTCGCTTATCGCTTGCCACTATCATCGAAAGAATATGCGTTCTGCGCACGCTGCGTACAAGCGACGGCGATGGCGAAAAACCGTATATTTAAAATAGAATTTACTGAGGATCGCTCGATTATTGAAATCGTTGAAACACGAGTACTCAATTATTAAAATTCATCGGTTTTCCCCATCACTACTAGTGATGAATTTCAATAATCGAGTACTCGAGTATCAAGCGATTTCAATATCGAGCGATCGCTCGAGCGAAAATCACTAGTATTTAAAAATACGGCTTTTCATTCGTCGCTTGTTGTACTCGTAACATATTCTTTCGGTGATAAATGGCAAGTAGCAAGCGAAGAGCGATTCGCTTGATCGCTTCGATTTAGCTTATTTCAAAGCATTGTCGATGTAGGTCGTAAAATTTTGTCACTCAGATGCGGAACCGATAACGTCGTATAAATTTGCAATGTATGTAGAAAATTCGCTCGGCTTTTTTATCGAGTATGTCACATTAAAATCGGATTTCAATTTATTTCATTCTAGGATCGCTTGCGTTCGTCGCTCGTCTCGTCACTTGCATCGCTCGTTCATAATCTAGCGATATCGGTTATTTTAATAATCGAGTACCCGAGCGATATTCATCGTATCATTTATTAAATACTTACTTACTCTATTGAGCAAGAGGTTTCATAAAATAGTTCGCCACAGTTGAAAAGGAAAGAGCAAAACAGTTTTAAGTCAAAAACGTTTTTGACTAAAACAGTTCTGGTCTTTCTGTATGCCTCCAGTCGTATATTAAACTATCCTTTTCAGATCAAGTATTGAAAGAAAACTATTAGACGATTCTGCAATGGAAACACGTCTTTTGATAATTCCGAAAATATCAGCTGGGAATCCCTAAGAGATTTTCTAGTAAAAGTAAGTTGTTCTCTTACACACATATGTAATTTTGATGATGTAAATTGTTTCTCTACAGGTTGGCAGTTCCTGTGCCGATATGTTGCATTCCTGTCAATGGGGCAGCGAAAAATTGGACTGTAATGATGTGTTTAATAACGACTTGACCGACGAGGGATTGTGTTGTTCTTTTAACAGACTACCACCTGAAAAGATTTTTAGGAATTCGTACGTACTGCAAAATGCATTTTAACAATATGCATTAAGTAGAACTTTAGTAACTATGGTCTGTCCAACTAGAGAATAGTGAATAGTATATAACATTCGACATTGACAGTTGTCTGGTTAGCTATCTCTTGACTTACTGGACAGATTTTAGATAGATAGTTCTAATTTATAATTGATAGATGTGTGATGCAAATGTTATTTATTAACACCAACTCTGTTGATTTTAGAAAAGATATCAGTATATTAAACCAAACTTATCCCAGTAATGTATACGACTGGAATCCAGAAACAGGGTTTACTGAAGCAGACACAGGAGACTCTATTCCAAGAAGACCATTAGGTAAATATTTTTTTTTTTATTTAAACTCCTACAAAGTTTACTAAAATCGTAAATTAATTTTAAGGTGCTGGAGCACATTTAGGTCTATCAGTTATTTTGGATGCTAATATCGAAAACTATTATTGTTCTTCAACACATAGCACTGGTTTTAAGGTAACAGAGAACCTTATTTAAACAATAAAATAGATGTAAATAAATAGATAATATTAATAATATTCGTTCAAATTTTCTCTTCCAACTGCTTTAAGACAGATATAAACTGATGTCAGCAAAATTCTAGTTCTTTATTACCAAATAATGTACTGTATGATAAAAAAAAAGTGGCTTCAAAGGAGGCTGCAAAATGACAATTGATGGTAATTTTGGCTAGATCAATTGACATAAGGAAACTTAAGGAAAAAGTACACCTATTAAAAATAATTTTTATTCAATAAAAAACCTTAAATCCAATTGGCAGTAAGCGCCATTAAAAGTAAAGAAGAGTACGGGCTTAGTAAACGATGTCTAGGGCTTGACCTCGCCAAAATTATCATTGTCAATCCTCAGCCGTCTTTGACGCCGTTTTTTTTTTTCGATAATATGAGATAATATGTTATATTTAAAGGTTATACTTTCAAACCCTATTGAGACTCCGAAAATGGCCGATTACGGTTTTCTAATAAGTCCAGGATTTGAAACTAGGATTTCTATCGATCCTTCTGTAAGAGAAGCG